AACAGGTATTAAAGTAACTGACTTTTGAAATGTAGAAAGAACATATTACAGTTAAAGTTAAAACATAGTAATGTAATGAGACAGAATTTAATTTAGACAACATCATGTAATTAGCCTGGTAAAGAAGTAAAAGCCATAGACTTTATTGTTTAGGTCATTATGGGGATATACATTTCATCTAAATTCATAATAGAAAGACATTTGATGACAGTTTGTTGGAATTCTGTATTCATACGCAGTGGTGGGTCAAACAGCTGAGGGCCCAGGAGCCTTGAGCGTAGGGGCTTGACGGATTTGTATCAGATTTCTCCACACAGGTTGGTGATGCCAAAGGGGGACCCAGGAGTCCGACACAGCGGAGTTCGTCTGGCTGAAGGTCATCAGGCCAAAGTGGCTCAACCCCAGGCTCTCCGGCCCCAACCAAGTGACCCAGCGGATCTCTCATGCCGTCCGCATAGGAGGAAAGGGGGACAGCTGGGGCCAGTGTGCGGCGGGGAAACCACCTGCTAGGACCGGGGACGACATCAGGACGGACGTGGCCCTCGCAGAGGAGGTCGACTCGGAAGCTGTCATCAGTGGACTGGAGGAGCAGGATTCTGAAGACATCCTTACAGCAGACTACTCGGAAGCGTCTGTCAGCGGGCTGGGGGACTTGTCGAGGCAGCAGAGGAGTCTACTTCTCTCTGATCAGTTCCACCCGTGAAGGGAAAGCCGCATCTCCCCCTCCCTATCAGCTATGGAGGACGGAACATGACTTAAGTATAAATAAATAAATGTATGAAGAAATACAGGAATAAATAAATAAATACGTAAATAAATAAATAAATACAGGAATAAATAAATACAGGAATAAATAATTGACGAAATAAATACAGAAATAAATAAATGTTGAAATGAATACACAAATAAATAAATAAAAGAATAAATGCATAAATAAATGCATAAATAAATATGGAAATAAATACATCAATGTATAAATAAATAAATAAAAGTCGAAAATAAAACAGAACACACGTTATTATATATCTTTCATTTATTTCTACATTTACGCGACATACATTTATTTATTTATGTATTTATGTGTCCGTATGCTAATGAGGTGGGCGGTCCTAACCTCAGTCTGAAGCAGGATTGGTTACAGGAGTGTGTGATCATTTCTGGCAGAGGGCTCTACTACTAACGCCTGGATAACCGCGCTGATTCGAATGCAGGAGCTTTACTGTTTAGCCCTTATCTTTATACATCCATGGTTTATCCACAGTTGTAAGGTTTATTTATGGATATTGATTTAAGAGCCATTGGAGATCATTTACGATCATTAGCGGACCATTTAGAGAATGGAGAACCAAAAGACTATGTCCAGTTTCGTGTGGAACGATGTATAGAGGACTTGGCTCAGCTCGACATGGATGTGGATGTTAACCCAGCTGTGTTTGAGAGTCTTCAAGAGGTTGCCCGCCAACTTGAAATCCTCTCGGAAACAGAGGAGGCGACCCTTGGGCGTCCATCTTACATGTTGCCCCTAAACGTTATTGAAGCACATCTTCGTTGGGGCCACACCGCTGGGGACATCGCGCAGGTGTTCGGGGTGTGCGAAAGAACAATTCGTCGGAGGATGACACAGAACGGGATACGGTAGGTTTAATCCGCATTCTTTCACGTTTTTTGTCTGGATTTCCTTACTTTTATTGTTTTGGCGTAGGCTATATCAGTGTACACATTTGTTAGACGCATTAACTTGTGTTTAGTAATGATAACGTTTCATTAGCCTACATTTTCTCCATCCAAATTAGCCTACTTGTTTACATATTTATTAAAATGGTAATAGGCCATTTATATGTTGAAACCAATACATCAGATAGACATGTGTCGGGGCAAAGATACAAACATGCTTTGTACACAAAGCAAAGGTACCATTACCTCAGACATGATGTAGGCCTAATAATAGTAATGAGGTTTAAGAGACCAGCTCATTTGTTTCAGATGACACCTACATCTTTCAATGCAGGTTAGTACAGAGCAACACACTCATTCTGATGTGTTTTGATTGTACAGTGCAAAAGGTGACTATTGTTTATTGTGACTTACTATTGTTTCGTTATTTTTGATGATCAGGGTCCAAGATCTATTAACTCTGTTAGATGACAACAGTTTGGATGAAACTGTTACCCAAATTCTACAGCATCATCCCAACTCTGGATACAAAATGATGGTGGGGTACCTGAATGCACGAGGGATACGCATACAAAGTAAGGGATTGTTATTATTATAATAATCCTCCATGCAGTGTTTTTTTTTTACTACTTGATAATGAATCACATTATTCTGGCATATTTAGGAATGCTTTACTTTTCATTATGTTACTTGCAGTACACCATATCTCTGCATTTCCCCGAATATAACAGGACAGCGTGTCCAGGAATCCATGCGGCGTGTTGATCCAGGTGGAGTCTTGATTCGCACTCTGCAGCTGAACCCAAGAAGGCGTAGGAAGTACTTTGTACCAGCACCGAACAGTTTATGGCACATCGACGGAAATCACAAACTGATTAGGTATAGTATAATCATTAACACTCAAGCATTGCTCAAACATCCACTTCACTACAGTTACAAAAGATGGGACCATCTAAAGTGTTCTTATAATCAATCAGCTTCAATGCAAACCAGACTTCAAGATTCAAAGGCTATATTGTCATATGCATGATAGCTTTTTTATTGGTTGGTTATGAAAATCTGAAGTCTCAGTCTCCTCTAACAATGCAACATACAATATTCTGTAGACATAAAAACAAGTTAAAACACTGCAAGAAGAAATATAAATGAAATGTATCAAATGATTAATTGCACCAAATTCCTCTGCATGCAAATTACTTTTACTATCAAAATTAAGATGATTTATGTTTTGTAATTATAACTTTTAGTAGGATAAGGCACCTTTTAAAATGTGTAAATGTCTGTACATACATTAGTGGATTGACCTTAATGTGTGCCTATACATATCCCTTTAGGTGGCGTTTTGTTGTGCATGGTGGTATTGACGGCTTTAGTCGTCTCATCGTGTACTTGAGTGCTGCCACCAACAATCGGGCAGCAACAGTTTTAAGAAGCTTTTTGGAAGCCGCCAATGTCTACGGTGTGCCATCACGTGTGAGGTCAGATAAAGGTGGAGAAAATGTTGACGTTGCACGCTACATGGTGGCAAACCGAGGAGAGAACAGGAATTCACACATTGCTGGCAGGAGTGTCCATAATCAAAGGTACCTTAAACTTCAAGTCAAACTTTTATCAAATTAAGTCCTTGGTAAAGATTGCAATGTCAACTATATGTCTTTAGCTATTATTAATTGTATTTTTGTTCGTCTTCCTCTGTGAGATAAAACCATAGAACTAAAAAAGTTATATTTCTATAATACAAACACTATAATTATGACACCAACTGTATAATTTGACAAGAAGGATAACAATATTTTTCAAACATCTATTTAGTGGAAGTCCCAGCACGTTGCATGACCGGGCAAATTACTGTTGGAACTTGGATTTTGAATGTATTTTCCAGTCAAGAGAACCTTACATTAATATTGAACAACAACAGTTAATGTGGCATAAATATGGCATTAGTCCGTCTTTTTTTATACATCCATAGTATGTTCAGCTGATATATTTCCTGATCCAGTTTCAACAAAGCTTACAGTATAAAAACCTCACCCAAGTTTGATGAACTTTGCTCAAGCAAAATGATTTTTGCTAAATCCAATTTCCAGCTTTTTTCCAGAGGCATTATTGTGCACTTGCCACTTAATCAGGAACATTTTCCTATTGAAATCGGCAAAAATGTTAATACTTAGCTTCTAATTAATGTAATTCAATTCTAAATTTACTTACCATTTATGGTAGGTGAAAGGTGATATTTGTAAGTTTTTTTTTTTTGTTCACTGAGCAGACTAAATATTTTCCTTCCTTTTTCCTCAAAAGGATAGAAAGGCTCTGGAGAGACGTTTATGTAGGAGTGCTGGATCTCTTCTACACAATGTTTTTCAACCTAGAGAGAGAAGGCCTTCTCAATCCTGACTGTGAAGTGCATCTCTATGCTCTGCACTGGTGCTTTGTGCCCCACATACAGAAGCACCTGCAGTTTTTCCAGCAAGGCTGGAACTGCCACCGACTAAGCACTGAGGGAAACCGGTCCCCACTGCAACTGTGGACTCGCCATGAGCGTGAGGCCCAGCAGGAACATATACAGGTTTGATTGTATTCAATAGTTTTATTTTGACTTTGACTTTACTTTCCTACATGGGACCATGTTAACACTAATACCCACTTTTTCTGTCATTACACAAACTGTTTAAAACAAATAATACAAGTGAGTATAGTTTCACAATGTAACAAATAGTGGCCTGTTGTCGAGGAAACTGAATGTGATGGAATTATTTTATTCTGCATATCATCGGCACTTTAAACACTTCTATGAGGTATTCCTAAAATGCTGTGATCAACCAGAACAAGCGGTTAAGGAAGATAATGATACATCAGGGCTTTCTGCTCTCTAATGATTTGATTGATGTCAGCTGTTCATGAGACATTAATCAGGAATTCCAGGAGATGATACAAAACGGTTATATAAAATGAATTAACTGACAAATATATTAAAACTTTGATTTTGGTTGACTCTAACTTTAGCTCTTGCAATTGCAGGTTGACATTGAGTTTGGAGTTGACTGGACTGGACCATGTGCTCATCGCCTGCCTCATGTTATGGTTCCTGAAGTTCAGCTGCAACGTTCACTGACTGACCAGGAAGTGGAAAGACTTCCAGACCCTGATGGCCCTCTGTCCAATGTGTGGAATGTCTATGTACAAACTGTGGGCTTATTGACTGAAATGCTACAGTAAATGTGTGTGTGTATCAAAAGTCTGTTGCTGTGGGAAATGTAGTCTTTTAAAGTTTCGACTAGGACGATTAGGTGACAATATTTGACTGAGTTACATGAAGACGCTGGTACCAAGATTCAGTATATTTCGATTTTAATACAATAAAAATTAGATGGTAATGAAGTTACGTTCAGTAGTCATTTGAAACATGTGTTGCACTGAACATATGCTTGTTGTGAATCAACACTTACTGTAATGCATCAAGAAATATACATTTGTTACAGTTAATGAACATTTTGTAACGAATATCAATTTAAAACTTTGAAAATATATAAAGATAAACATGCTTTCTTTGTTATGTGCAATAACAAGGAAAGCATGTTTATCTTTATATATTTTCAGTGTTACACAAACTGGCCGGAGTATAGGCATTAACTGAGTTTTTTTTCCTCTCTGAAAACATACATTTTTGGCCGGCCAAACAAAAGACAACAAATCTAGTACTAAGGTGTGTCCGTCTCTTCAGACCATCCCGAACCCAGTTTCAGTGCTCCAAATAGCAGCAAGAATGTCCCTTTCAAACATACAGTACTCTTTGTAATGTCCTGGAAGTTTCAGCTGGTGAAAGCATGTGGAAGAGCTGGGGAAGTTGCTCTCCACCACGGTCACATCCAGGCCATGTCTAGGAAGCACATTCCATCCTATCCAGAACTGCACAAGTTTCCCAAGGATAACGGGAGATGCTTTATAAAACAGAGAATAAATTCATTTTATTATAATTGCTTTCAGTTAATAGTTAAATAACAATAATGTTACTTAAATTACGCCTTGGATTGTTACTGTAGCTTTAAAGATAAAAACAGAGGAAGCGCAGCTTTCGTTATAATAATTACAAACTTTCAGTAAACAAAGCTTGAAGACGTTGTTTTACCCATCTCAATAAATGTGCGCAGGAATCCTGTGAGCCTACAGGAATCCTCCAAAGAGACTTCACTGTCTTCATCCTCATCCTGTGTGGGCCAGTTTATCTTCTCCAACACCATCTGACAGATTTCGTTTTGAAAGGAGCCCAGTGAAAGCACAATAATAAACAGAACATACAAGAAACTGCAGGTTTTGCTGTGTAGCAGCAGAGTAGTCTAAAGATACAGTTGTTCTATTGGTTTAGCTCCTTTTAAGCAGCAAGTAGCATCATTTCATTTCAAAATATGTTTGCGTAGGTGAATGTTTGTTTTAATAAACTTAAAGCAATGTAGGTCTGAGAGTAGTAAATAAACCCAATTTCTAACTCCTGTGAGTTAGGAGGAAGGATTTGACTGAGCAGCATGAGATCACTTACCCGTGGTGTGCACTGCAAATCAGATGCTCTTGGAAAGAGAAGGGGAATCGTGTCTTTCCTCTCCGTCAGCAGAGGCCAGATCAGTGTCTCTTTTAAACCCCTTCGTAACTGCTTGACTTGTCTGGAGGTTCTTCCAAGGACCTGCACAATATTTGCATCACAGTAGAAAAGCAAAGCAGCCTGATTGATCTAATAGCCCAATAAGCATGTTTTAATACACTATTAACATCCAAATATGTATTTAACAAAAAAGCTCAAATGTGATATGCCAAAATGAGGTCCTACTTCAAAACTTCAACTCTGATTAGTCAGTCTGATTCATATGACCTGTTAAGAATACTCACAGCATGGAGGATCAGTTTATCAAATAGCCATCTCCTGTTGTCACATGTGACTAGAGGCAAATCCCAGGACAGTGCCAACTCATTGATGAGCTTTTTTTCTTCTGATGATAACTCTGCTGTTCCCTCCAGCTAATAATGGCAAGTAGAATGAATTTGATAAGAATCGTTAATTTCTCAATACTTGTATAAACATTCAACTTTGATACAACATAAGAAGTTTAACTTATAATCAGCATGTTAGTTGGTAACCTGTAAAAGCTATGTTTTGTCAAAAAACATCTTATAGGAGGACATCTGTAAGTGTTCTAATGATATTTAATATATCAGTGCATGGTGTTTTATAATGCTTCAGTAACTCCTGCTGGTGCAAAGTGTAGCCACTTGATGTTAACAGTATCTGAAAGTAGATCAGCTAAATAAATAATATCCAAAGGTTGAATAATAAAATAGGTTAGAAAAACATTGAACATACCAACTTGATTGTCTCACGGATATCAAGGTCAACACAGTCCCTAATATCTATTGTGGCTTCTTCCGGGGATCCACCAAAGAGCACATGCAGGACAGCTGGGCTCAGTCCACCTAGGCATGGCCCATCATGGAGGAATGAATGTCCAATCATTCGGCCAGCAACAACAAAGAAGTCACTCTCCAAAAGGAGATGAGAAGTGGAGGGAATCAGATGATCTTGTTCTCCTTCAAAAAGAAGAGTTCCTCCAGGCACTGCAAATATAGGAAAACAGTCAAAGTAAATTGATAGTAAAGTAAAGGACATAGATATTCAACTATCACAAAGCATTAGTAAAGGAATGATCAAACCGCCACTGGATACTGGTTGATCCTGTAGAAACCTACATGTTCACAGCAGCTACAATCACATCAGGTTTTAGGAATACGTTTTGTTTTCTGGGGTTAAGGGACAGATCTGTGTTCAGCCTGGAACTGGTACAAAAACACACATAACTTAGTGGCTGAGACCCAGCGATCAGCCATAGTAAATATTTACTTACCAAACTTCATCTCAAAACCAGCCTGAAGTTTTGACATGATGGTTGCAAAGAAATGCCGAGTCACACCATCACCAATGGCTGGATCTCCTTAAAAATGTAAACACACACTACAGACATCAGTTTAACGAAAATATGGTTTGTTCATTTTTTTATCTTGGATTTTGTTTGTAACCGAATTACCCTTAAGTGTGCATGTCAAGGGGCAAGCCCACTCAACATTTGCCTTCTTATAAAAAGTAAGGACTGCTCTTTCCCTTTCCGCTGCACTGTCTCCAAGATCCATAGTAAGACACAAGGATTTTCCAGTTGCATGCTGGCTTAAAATGTCTTCTTTAAACATCTTTGCTGCCTCTGTGGGATCTGGCGCTATTCTCCAATCTAAAAATAGTTTAAAAGGTTTCCAAATTAATATTGGATCAAGTGAAATGTAGAGAGCAACAACTTATTGCAATACATGATGTACTTAATAAAGGATGTTACACACCAGAGAAGCCACTTTCCTCAGTGGGATCGATGTCAACTACCTCAGGAGAAGGCAACATTTCCTGAGGTGGCACCGAGTGTCTTGTGTTCCTGGCCCTTGTTGTCTCATTTCCCTGTGCTCCTGTGAACGTGCTTTCAAATCTAACTTGACTTCCGGAGGCCCTTTCAGTTGTCAACTCAATCTGTACCTCACCGCTGCTCTGTGATGGTCTAGTGTAAAAAGAGGTTATTTCTGTTATTTGGTCTAGTATACTTTACATTACATATCACACTCTAGAAAAAGATGGGCATATACATAGAATGAAAAGTAAACCAAATGTTACTTTTCCTCAAAACCAACATCCAGAATGTATATCTTTCATATTTAAATGTATTATAGAGGACAGCAGAATATGGTGTTACAGAGGGATTGTTGGAACAAAAAGTACTAATATCTGGCCCCATAATTATAAAACCTCAGATGTGCTGATATGTCAAAATATTTTACATCCATTTGCAGCATCCCACAGCCTTATGCTTATTGGTTATTGTGTGTCTACACATGCAGTTGCAGTGTGCCTGGCGAATGTGATGTTTAGTTCTGTAGAGAGTAATACCTCGTGCAGTTATTGCTGTGATCCTTGATTCTGGAAAAGGGGAACTCCTCTCCACAGATGACACATTTCTGATTTGGTCCAATTAACACGTTGTCGCCTTCTGATCGACATGCCTGTAAACAAAATAGTTTTAAACTACATCACAAGCGAACAATTATGTTACTGTAAGTCACAGATTCCACTTTAATATTGTGACACCACTATAGAAGTGAGGAACTTACAGGGTCCAAATTCAGGGTTCTTTGCATTGGTCTAATGAAAACCGTAGAATGGCCAATCTGGGTCTGAGGGTCCTTCAAATATCTGACATAGTAACCCTCATTGGGACAGGGGATCACAATCAAGTGGCGACTTCTCGTAGTGCCAGATATTTTTAGCAACTCGAAACCGCCACCGTTCCGCAGTTTTGGATAGGCATCCATCAAGAATTCGAGGAATTCATTTGAATCTGTATGGCTGCCTAGAAATAGATGATACACATAAGAGATCTAACATAAAGATAATGTTATGATTGTAAGGGTAACTCAATATATTTATATATCACAAATGTACATTTACCATAAAAAATAGACAGAAAAGGAAAGAGCGATTGATAATCGTCATTCTAATGACTGACAGACCTTTAAATGTGAGCCGTTTTTCACCAAAGCCAGCAGCAGCGAGTCTTTCTTTGGCGTATCGGTTGGGGACTAAGGCTGCATTCTTGTCCTCAAGGCAACAGAATAAATGGGTATAAGAATGCAGGTGTGCAGGACCAGAAAGGGTTTGCCGCCCTGCCGTCCTCCTCCCTCCCATGTAGGGGCCAAACAGTCTTGAAACTTCGGCTAGGATCAAGTTAAGAAGATAAGCAATATTGAGTGCAAGGAAATAATGATTCAACGAGAATCCAGGGGGGAAATGTTGGTTAGCGTTAGCATCACACACTATAAATATAATGATCCCTTCAAGCTGGTGGACAGAAACTGAATCAAATAACTTGTCATTGGCGATATAAACTTAGTAAACTGATCGGATTTGCATTACAAATAATTTGATGCAAAGACCTACCGTCCACTGGGTGTCTGGGAGTCCCGTTATGTAACGGATGAGGAGGAGGAGACGAAACTGGCGCGTTAGCGGTCCTTGGTGCTGCACAAAACATAACATAGCGCCACATTGGGTACAAAACTGTACATTGGCATTTTAACACACAGATCAGTTTTTTTACATTGTCATATCAGTCTTACACTAGACCAAAACATGAGTCACTTACAGTTTTCAAGCTGGTTAGCCGCATCCCGCAGAAGGTCTGCCAGCGCCCTTCCAGCCGAAGCCATTATTAGCGAGTTGCCGACAATGTACACAGAATGTACAGATGTGACTTGCCACGAATCTATTGCTTCTGCCTGGCTCCAACAATTGGCGAATCCTGCTTCAGACTGAGGTTAGGACCGCCCACCTCATTAGCATACGGACACATAAATACATAAATAAATAAATGTATGTCGCGTAAATGTAGAAATAAATGAAAGATATATAATAACGTGTGTTCTGTTTTATTTTCGACTTTTATTTATTTATTTATACATTGATGTATTTATTTCCATATTTATTTATGCATTTATTCTTTTATTTATTTATTTGTGTATTAATTTCAACATTTATTTATTTCTGTATTTATTTCGTCATTTATTTATTCCTGTATTTATTTATTCCTGTATTTATTTATTTATTTACGTATTTATTTATTTATTCCTGTATTTCTTCATACATTTATTTATTTATACTTAAGTCATGTTCCGTCCTCCATAATCAGCTGCCCTTGTTGGCTATTCCTCGGAGGGGGGGGAACTGATGATTCACCACACAAGGAGACTGCTTTCTAGCACTCAGGTTGCCCCTCTCATGGTTCCTTCACTGCCATGGAAAGTGGTGTTCTGTTCCCAAATATTTCAAGTACTTTGGGTCTCAGTTTCTGATAGATTTATACACAACAAGTCCTCCAACTCATACGACCAAATGGGTCGATTGTTTAAGCCCTTATTACGACCAAATATGTCGTTTGTTCAAGCGCTTAACACGACCTATAATTACGTTTTAAAGTTGTCGGCCTCTAGTGCTCCCGTTGAATGCAAACGTTACAGATGGTCGTTTATTCACAAATAACCCTCTCTGTAAAATCCTAAATTGTAGGATAGTTTGGCCATTAAAACGCTTTATGATTAGATTTCTAGCGAGAAGTATATATTGTACTTTTAGAATTCACGTCCAGTCGTTATGTAGGATCTATAGTTTGATAGATATTACGAAGATGATTTGAGGTTTCGTCAGGAGAACGTGTATATGCGGCAAGCTTCCATGTAAAGTTACGGGTTGAAAACAGTATTTCCGGTCTCGACGTTTTCATAATAAAACCAATGATCAAATGATTTAACAGTGATATCTGCAGTACTCATCCACTAAAAAACATCAGTTTATCCTAGTTAATTATACGACATTAATTGGTTTAAATTGTGTACAATGCTTTTGTGTTTTTCCCATAGGGTTTTCTCTTTCGATTCTGAGAGACACATTTCTTTTTTCAGAGGTTTTGATAGGCTAAAATCACGCCGCAATGCACGTCGGGATATGGTGTTTATGTGATATGAAATCGGAAAACATTAAAAAAATAAATAATAATACTTTATTCCGAGTGTTCTTGCTTTTCTGTTTGAAAGTCATCACATAACGACATTGTAATACACGGTTCGGCTGTATTAAATATTACATATCTGCCGTAGATATGTATTTATAGAGCCCTGATCAGAAGACCTTTTGACAAACTGGAAGAGATGCCGCCAAAACTGAATACGTGACGTGGACCATAAAATATCAACAATTAAACAACATCTTCCATTTATTTTCACACAATGCGTCTCCTTGCAGTATCAACACTAATTCGGCTGACTTTTATATTTGATCCAATAAGTAGATAGTCTGTATTTACACCATAACGGTGCACAGCTGATAGAAAGGGATTTTTTTGTAGTTTTTAAAGATATTACTGATTTTCTGAACTACCTTTCCAACTCCTCATGCAGTTGACTGTTACAGGTCTATACAAGTTTATGGTACAATGCATAAGCTTCACATTGAGAGACTGAAACTGTATTTTCCTTTACCGTTCTGTTTTAATTTCACAATAAAGTGAATAGTCATATTATGTTTGATATTATTATGTTTTATTAACTAGACCACTGGTCTAAACCGTACCTCCTAGTGGTTAAAGCACGTTATTGAATTTAGTTGTTGAATAAGTTTAATTTTTATGAAAACATTTAAATATTAAGAGTAGCCTACATACAAAATAGGGGTCAATGATAGAAATATAGAATAGAAAATATCAAGAAGAATCTGTAGTGATCTCTACAATAAAACAGTTTAGTGCAGGACGTCCAAAGATATTAACAGGAGGATGTGCAAAACAGACAAACTGATAAGGCTGAATTTTACTCAGGTGTAACGAAAGTCTGATTTAAGGGTTGTTTATATTTCACATAATTAATCAGAATCTGCAAAGTAACAAAAATAAATGTAGTAGAGTAAAAATACCAGGTTGACCTCTGAATTGTAGTGGAGTAGAACAAAGTAGTACATGCTGCTGTAACAAAAACATTTCCCAAATTGGGATCAATAAAGTATCTTATCTTAAGATGATCGATGGCTACTGCCATATTTGCTAAATGTGCATCTGAACCTTGACAAGTGCATGTTTCAGGCTTATCAATTAACAACAGAAGGGGTCACAGACATAAGACCAGCTGTTAAATAAAGCTCTTCTGACCTTAGCTGTCATGTGGGTATATTAATGCTGCCCATTATGGGCACAAGCAATTTTCACCCATGTATTCATTATAAGTTTTACATTTGATAACACCAATGTGTTTCATATTCCCTAAACCTCCAGGGATGTATACAGTTTAATACTGGCAACTTCTAATTGTGGGAAATACGAAAACGTCTTATAAAACTACAATTCCCAGTAGAGACGTGCCATAGAACATATTGCGAAACACACAATAGCCAGCATGTGTAATTCTGTGGGGGAGGGCTGGGCTGGACCCATCCAATTCCAGTTTTGGAAAGTCTGTCGTGGTTCCATTCCATTTCAAAGAGCTGTTTGACATTCGGCGTAACCTTCTCGCACTGCCACTCCAACATCCAATCACAGAGCTTGAGGGCTAATCACGGGGTTTGTAAAGCAAGGCGGATGTTGTAGTCCCAAACGATAGCTGGGGATTCTGGGTAGTGTAGTGTCTTCGGAAACTCTGTAGTGTCTAAACTCCGAAAAAACTATTTGTTTCTCCGAATCGAAGGTTAAAAACACAAAAGCATTGTACACAATTTAAACCAATCAATATTGTGTAATTAACAAGGATAAACTGATGTTTTTAAGTGGATGAGTAATGGAGATAATTTGACAGTGTGGGGAATACTTCCGGTTTTATTATGAAAACTTCGAGACCGGAAATACTGTTTTCACCCATGCTAACTTTACATGGAAGCTGCCCCATATACAGTACACGTTCTCCTGGCGAGACCTCAAATTATCTTCGTATATCTATCAAACTGTAGATCCTACACATCCACTGGACGTAGATTATAAAAGTACAATATACACTTCTCGCTAGAAATCTAATAAAAAAGCATTTTAATGGCCAAACTATTCCACAATTTAGGATTTTCCAGAGGGTAATTTGTCTATAAACGACCCTCCGGAGCGTTTGCAATCGACAGGAGCATGTTGTTTCTTACACGACCACTAGAGGTGCTACACTTTAAAACGTGACTCTGGGTCGTATTTAGCTGCTGAACAATCGACCTATATGGTCGCTTTTTGTAGGAGGACAGGCTGTTTATACAATATTGGGGGACAGACACAGTAGAAAAGAATGATAGTAGATATGTTTCAAAATGCCTTGTGTAAGTTTATCTCTTGAGAATGAGATAAAAAGGGGGAATGTGGAGAATTGAAGATTATATTCATCTTAATGTCACCCATATATAAGAGGTGTGTTGCATCATGTTATCATTAATATAGGTGTGGTTTTATACATTCCTGTGGGAAATAAGGAGCAGGTTTGCAGGACAGGAGACTGGAGGGGGAGGGGAGCAGAGAGGGAAGTCTGAAGAATGTGTGTGTGTGGAAGCTGCAGGAATACGAGCCAGATGTGTTTGTTTTGCTTCAAACTAAAAGACTGTTTCCGGATCATCTCGGCTGGCGCGCGCTGATACGCTACGAAAGCCCATCGTTAAATATGGGCCAATAGATGACCTGTATGGGGGTAGCATCCACACAGCTCCTCCCTTGTTTTTACAATATCTCCTGTTGAGTCCTGGTGTCCGGTCTCTTTCCTCCTGCTGCCAAGACGAAGTAAGTAAGATTTCCCAGCGGGAGGAACCAGGGCCGGGGTAATCCGGATTACTCCGTGATGTTGTGTTATTGTGTCTTTTGCCATTAAATCAGCATATTTGTTATAACCTTACCAATGGTTGCTGTGAATTCTTCCTCTGTTAATCTGACCCATTCACAAAACGAACACGTGGAGCCGAGGTGGGTTTTAAAACCACTCTGACTCCAACAATATCAAACATACCGGTAAACCAGCATCGTTTGCTGTGAAAGCATATAACTCTGTCCACACAGAATTAAATCCTGTGTTCCTCCGGTACTTTTCTTTGATTTATCCATAGTTCGCTCATCGAGCCGGGGGTCAGGCTATTCGCCTCCAAGAAAAGGCGCTCGCGCGGGACCGTAGCAGGATGTGACGCATATTTTTAGTTGACCTAATTAAAACCGTTTTGTTTTTTATTTATGTGTCACAGTATCACCTCAAAATACAAGATACGAAACATTTTCAACCATGCAACAAAATATAAATAGTCCTACAAATACTTTTATTTTATTTCCTTCTTATTTTTGTCTAAGCTCAAGGGAGCCAGAGCAGAGGGCTTAACCAGTTAAGCCCGAAGGTCCCCCCAGTGGACCCCTCCCACAGTTTTTTTTTTCTCACATGTCTCAGGGCTTCTTAACATTTATGAAACTATTAATGTTTCATACCCTTTTAAAGGTAAGAAACTCCGCTAACTGACAATAAGAACAATTGTTAGCTAAAAAAAACACAAGAGTAATACCAAGCCTTTGAATTAGCATTGAGCGAAAAAATGCTAACTAATGCTAACGCTTTTTTACACACAACACACGGTAGAAATGCCCTTATTACTATCTTAACTGCACAAACAAGATATACGATTTAAAGCTGAGACTCCACAGATTCCACACATGTAATATCATCACTGTCCGACCTCGAATTCCTGGAGCTATCAGCCAGAAAAGAGAAAGTAAACAACATCCGGTTTCAAAAACATTACAATAATTACGTCTTACCTTTTTTGATTTGTGATCAAAAGTTGTGTTCAACGGAATAAAAACGCATCTCAAGGTTAATCCAATGTCTTTGTGTCACGTATAATTTTTTACTGATAATCA